TGAAATGCTTAGAAACACGCAGCGTTACTCTATGTGCTGACGTCATTAACTGAAACAGGAAGACAGGGCGGGACATATCAAGCAGCCCCGCCCCTTTTTAAAATAGCCAATAGCGTTCATTTATATCACAGCTTGGGCTAGAGCCGTTGAGCTCCGTAAAGTCGCATTTGACAGGGTATGCCAGCCACAATCTCATCCTTAATGCTATAAAATATTAGTGATGGGAAGTTCGGATCATTTTACCGACTCGGACCTTTGAGTCTCATTCAGCAAAATGAACTAATCTTTTTTCGACTCATTTCGTTCATTTTGTTCATTTTAGCAAAATATAATTAAAATGTTACGTGTTACTTCCCTAACACGTCTACTACTCACACAAACGTTGATCACACTACGAACAATACAAAATGAGACGACTCGTTCTTCCCGAGTCACATTAAAGATTCGTTCCAAATGAACGAATCGTTCAAGAACGACCCAACAAAAATATAGCATTCTGTGTAGAATTCAAATAGCTCCGATACATTTTGTGGTCTGCGCCGACTCGCGCATGTGATCCGAAACCAATGCAGTCTGAGCCGGAAAGAGAATTGATTGATTCATCTCTCGAGTCTTCGGGTTTGAGTCGTTCGTTCATCACGTGACAGCCCCATAAACTTAAGCGGTGCGGTGGTTAGCGTGACAGCGCGAAACCAGACTTCTTTTTTTCCTCAATGGAAAGCATATTTACACTGTTTGAATCGTTCCCAGTCCCCTATATAGTGCACTACGTGCCATTCACTGTACAGAAAATACTAATTCTGTGGACAAGTGACCGATTTCAGCCGCGGCTTCAGCGTCTATTTTATAGTGTAGGGGGCGGGCGCTTCGGATTCTAGAGAGCATTTGATTGGACAGAAAGTTTGATGAGAAGCTGAAGTACGATGTGACGTCAAAAAAATCGGTGAGCCGTTTTGGCGGAAGTGACGAACTGCAAGCTTTGAATGCTTATATCTTCTAAATGCGAATTTTGTCACTGTTTTGGAGCACACTGCCTTATAGATAACCTTAAGACTAACATATTGATACTAACACCCAAAAAACTTTAATTTTGATTTCATGGGGACTTTAAGGAAGACGCCTGGGGCAACACAGGAGCCTCATGGTCAGATCATGATGAGTTAATACTTTACCTCTCTCAGCTTAACTCACAAGTTTGAGTCTATCAACGCTTTCGAGGGAGGGCCAAATTAGATCATCTTTCACTGGGTTAGAAATAGCATCTCTGATAATGAAGATGTCACTGTCATGAGAGCGATGGTCACGGTGGCTTTGAAAGATGTGACATTTGTGTTAACCACATGGGATTTTGACTGTGGTTTTGTTGTCAGTGGGTGTTTGGGTCATCTTATTAAAACTGCTGGTTACCTGGTTGAGCTAGTTTACTATTTTTTTTTCTATGTTATTTATTTTATATATTTTTTATAATAATTTGAACACACTTTTATAATAACTGATTATAATTGTAATATTTGTATTATTTATTAAGACTTGTGTTACACACATAAATCTTTGGGGGCTCTGGGACCCCGACATAAAAATGTCTAAATAAATCTCAGCAGAGCATGACTGTTAAGATGGTATGACCTGTTTAAACAAACTACAGACTACAGCAACTTCTCCGTTACAAAATATTATCCCTCAGCGCTTATTTTAGGGTGTGCTTTGAGAAAAATGAACCCTGTGAAATTCACGCCCCAGATTCAAGTCCAAACCTGCAGTGTTAGAAAAGATCCAATACCAAAGGAATCCACTGCTTATAGCCTACATACATGCATAATGTTTAGGGAAGCCATGCAGCTCTGTAGTTCAAAAGAAACAGAAAGAAATCCCAGTCTGTGCCAGTATGTTTCAGAGATTCCATGAGAACAAGACACTTACTAATTGATCTGAATGAGTAGCAAGCGTGAATATTATCAGGACAGATTTCAAATGATCTGCAAATATGATTAACCTCATTAAACTCAGGAAGACCATCTGTATATTTGACTATGAGCAGTTTGATTGTTGCTGAATTGCTGAATTGTCTAAAAGGTGGTGACAAGTGACTGTCTTATTTAATGATTCACCGATTCATTCACTGATTGAATCATTAATTCAGCCGATTCTTTCAGAAGTGAAACACGTTCATCCATTCAAGAGATTCAAAAACGCTGATAGATTCAGGAATTGATAGACGCCAATGTGTTGCAGCTTGTAGCGGTTTTGTTTGGATCTATTTTTGTTGGATGAACAAAAACAGATAAAAAGTGTCTGCCAATATTGTGTCTAAAATGTAAGTTGCTCAATATGTAATATGTAAAACACATAGAGATTCTCATTGGCTGTTTGATGTTTAAAAGAGGCCAGTTTGAGTGTGAATAAAATTATAAATTTTAAATTTTATTTTCATAGATTTTATGTTTTGATTATGTTATTAATGTTCACTAGTTAATTTAATTGGTCATTCCACCTAAAAAAATATTTTTACTGTTAATATTCCTCAATTAAAATAAGGTCATAACATCAGCATGCATAATAATTATAAAAGAATCTGCTAAATGTTTTAGATGGTCATAGCATGTCACACTTCATCACATTGAACTACCCATATGTCAACAGTGTTGAACACCTTTACTTTTTACATTTGTTTGTAATATACTGTAGGTCTGCTGCATTGTCAAATCCACCTGGATTAAACCTAAAAGTTGACAAATGACCATTGTCATCCACATTATTACCCACAACACATCATAATCCCAAACCACAAACCTCTCTGATACTTTTCCTGTTGGGAGACCTTCATCCAACCCCTTACTAACAGATAATTCGTCATCCTCCAAATATTTGAGCATAGACCTAATTACAGTTCCTTGCATCCCCACTGGACAGTTTGCCATCTCCGTGCTCAAGCTGTGAATATCACCAGCTGAATCCACCAACTAACTAGAATCTTGTTATCCCCATGGATAATGAATGACGGGCTCTACGTAACAGAGAGTTAGCCTACTGAATCTTTCATGGCCAGGCTTCTATGGTTTGACGCATGTGTTGTATATTTGGCTTGACGTGGGTGTGGTGCGGTGCACTTGAAGCATCTTGTACCATGGCTTGCTGTACCATGTCTTCTTGCTGCAGTGTGTTCTCTCTCAGAGAAGGCTTTCAAGGCCTGCCATGCACAAATCAGCTCTTTTGCTATACACACATCATTCACCTGAGATGGCACGAATTGCAATGCTATTTTTGAGTTAGTAGCTGCAATCTTTTTATATGTAGTCAGTATATGTACAGTTATTTTGGGGCCACTTGTAGCAAATTAAAAATGAATGGTATAAAAACAATTTCACTCAGAAATTGCAACTAAATTTCACCTTTAATACAAAGAAACAGCAAGTAACACATTGAATTAAACATGAAATTTTAAGTAGAAAGACTGAAATAGTATTTTCTTGTAAAACTTACTCTAATAATCAGCAACTTCAAAAAATACATGAGTACAGAGCAGTGCCGCGTTAAGCCTTTGCGGGGCCCTGGGCTAACACAGATTTGGGGGCCCCCCTCCGTTACACACCAATCAAAATAAAAAAATGCGATCAAACACTGTATAAAGTTGCGCACGATATACTCGTGAAATAAAATCAAACTCAATGCGCACGTCACACTCTAAAAAATGCTGGGTTAAATATAACCCAGCGCTGAGTTGAAAAGGGACAATCCCAGCTATTGGGTTGTTTTAACCCAGCGGTTGGTTTCAAAACATCCCAACCGCTGGGTCAAAACAATCCAATAGCTGGGTTTGTCCCTTTTTGACCCAGCGCTGGGTTATATTTAACCCAGCATTTTTTAGAGTGCATAGTCCCATAGGAGTCAAAAAAAATATGTACATAAATTAAACAATATTATCGAATAATAATCTTACAAATCAGCAACAGCCCAGCATATACAATTTAATTCTTCCTGCTCTTCTTATAATGCACTAGAAGTTATAGACATTTTAAAAATTTATAATTTTGTTTCTCTATTTAACAACATTAACTTACAATAGTGAAAGACATCTTCCCTCAGGTATTTGTCCCTCATGTAAATACGATTTCAATTTAGTTCTAAACTCAGACAGAATTTGAAGCTTTCACAGGTAAAGGAAGGATATTCCATAGCCTCGGTACAACTATTACAAATAGTAAAAGGTAGATAGTATGTTTTCTAGCTGGATGCTGTGCTTAAGTTATGATCAATAATCACGTCTTTGCATTCGACCAAACTGATCTAACAAAGCAAACTTGCAGTGCTACGTTCGCAATCCAAACAATGCTTTGGAAAAATAATAATTTATTTGTTATTTGTATGGTCTGGGTGGTCATATGGCGTATGCCTGCAAATACGGGACAAACTGATGCCTTAAATACAGGACGATTCCGTATTATTGGAACGGTTGGCAACCCTATATAAAATGAAAAAGAGAATTGACTCGGGGGCCCCCTAGTGTTCGGGGCCCTGGGCTGCAGCCCATGTTGCCCATTAGGATAACGCGGCCCTGGTGCAGAGATTGACACACTTCACACTTAAAGAAATAGTTCACACATATTAAATTAAATTAAATACAATTTATTTTATTTTATTTATGTTTTATTAAATTAAACTAAATACAATTTATTTTATTTATTTATTTATTTGTTTGTTTGTTTGTTTTTTCCTTTAATTGGATGGATTTAATTATTACCTTTTTAAATGAATACCTGGTAGATGTTTTACTGTATTTGTGAAAATTAGACACAAAATTTGAATTTTTTTTCTTATTTAAATTCAGTGTAAGAATTTACTGACTGGGGGCTTAGACATATTTGCTATTTTACAGATTATTGCAAAATTATAGATGTCAGTGATCTCGCCGTAGGTTTAAAGTAATGTGTTCATGTAACGCAAACAAGAATTGATTACAAGTTTTTTCAAGTATGCTTTTTTAAACATTATATTTAGCCTGAATAACAAAACAGTCATTGCCTTAACACTCAAGTCCGCTTGATTGTCATAGAAACTATCGCCATTGTCATAGTAACTACTGCTCAGAAAGTACAGCTAGAAATGTTCTCTTGTATCAGTTTGCAAAGAGCCAAATGTCTCCTGTAGGTTTGATGGAAAAGGTATCAGATGAACTTGCAACTGATTCTTTTTGAGAAAAGCCCATCTGGAAACTCTGACCTTCACTTGTCTTAGTCAACAGGGAATGAGCCACTTAGTCGCAGATACTGGCGGGCTGAGAAAATGCCAAATTGCACATTTACCTCAGTGCAGTCCTCTTCTGGACAATAAACAAATTCATTGTTATCCACACAGGACACGGGGAAACTAAAGTGAATCAATCTTGAATAAAAAGCCATTTAATGAGCTCTAGCAGTTTTGCACAGCGCTGTGCCAGAATTGCTCCTCTCATATAATGCACAGATGGGAAGTAATGTTTAACAAGACATGGGAATTTGGAGAGGAGTACGCTGCCTCAAATGATTGCAGATTGATTTCGCCTCAACAACAGTTTTCTAATAGACCTTGTTTGGATCAATTCCTGAGGGAAATCCTATTCTCTGTATTGTTGATGACCCTGAAGAATATTCACAGACTGAATGTGTTTTACTCTTAAACCTTTGTTTGTGTATCTCCCATCATGATGAATTTAAGTCAAGTCAGTCAAGTCACCTTTATTTATATAGCGCTTTTAACAATACAGATTGTCAAAGCAACTGAACAGCATTAATTAGGAAAACAGTGTGTCAATAATGCAAAATGACAATAGTAAACACTAATTTTTCAGTTAAAGACAGTTCATCATTGAATTCAGTGATGTCAACATCCAGCTCAGTTCAGTTTAAATAGTATCTTTGCAATCATTTGCAATCAATTTAATCTCTCCTTAACCTAGCAGGTGTTAATGTGTTGCAATTTGTCAGATTTGCGCTGCAAAATGCATGAATTCAGCAATAATAAAATGCCTACCTGCATGTTAGAGCCGTTGTGCAGAGGTAAACACCAAGATTTGGCTGCTTAGCATGGTCCAGTTAGCACCTGTTGCTAGATGCTGTTGTAAGATCTTATCTCCAAGATGTAGCCATGTGTAATGCCTATTCAAAAACATATGACATTCCACAATATCTCCTCATAGATCATCAAAATAGCATTTCCAGTTATCCTTTTGTGGCACTGGTAACTAATCTCGTAGGCTATCAGCAAGCAACATGCTAACTTGCAGACTACTAGGCTAGCTGCATGCTTAGATGGCTTGCTACTCAGCTAGTCGCATGCTTTACAGGTTAATAGAATAGCGGTATGCAAAGTTACAACTAACCAAACCAAAAATGTTTAAATTGACATGCTAACTTGCAGCCTAATATGCTTAGATGGCTTGCTAATCAGCTAGCCTATGTGTTGCAGTTTAATAGCCTAGTGGAAAGTAAAGCTAGTTGGCTAACCAAACAAACAATGTTTAATGTAACAATTTATAGCTTCTTTTTAATAATATGTGTGACAGATAATTTAAAACACAGTTTACACAGTTAGCACAACATACAACACAAAGCTTTTTTTGTATCAGGAACTAATTCATTAAATAACAGTAGATTTTTTGCTAGTGACCACACTTATAAACATAAAATGGGCTTTTTACATCACAGCTCAGGATAGTTAGTGAAGGTTTTAAGACTCACAAATGGGAATGTTAATGGCTAGCTCTCTCCTGTTATGGCAGACCACCTTGATTAGCACACATGTGCCTCCTGGCAATGTTTCCTATTACTTTCCCGCTCACTTTCTCCTCTCTGCTGTTCTGTCTAATTACAGCCATAAAAATCCCATAAATATAATTAATTTAGACAAATCAGTGAATGAATGAGTCTGACTATACATACATCATCTTCATGTCTTCTTCATCAGCACTAATTAATATGGAACAGGCTCATGTGACCTCGCCATTCATTATACGATTATTCAAATTAGCAATTCAAAGGATGATCCCACTTGTGCCCTCTCGCTCCAACCAAAGAAATTTAAATTAGGGTTCTTGTTAAACTAACCTAATTGCCCACACACCTAATTCATGAGTGTCTCAGCTAGCACCATTTCCTATAATGAGTCCACAGGTCTTATAGGTAATAACAGATAGGATGGACAGTATTAACATATGTATGGTGGAGTAGAGTACTCTTCTACATTGTAATTCACAGTGTGTCTGTCTGCTGGTGATGTGAATATTTGGACTGGTGGGAATAAGCCTTGGGAATAAATCCTTGCGTAAAACCTTCCTTGAGGCAGAAAGACAGCAAGAATTGTGTTGAGTGAGACCGATAATAAATTAGAAGAGGTCTCTGTGTCTTGTGACAGGCCTGGGTTTCATTTGTGAGCTCATTTGGTTACAGCTTTACAAAGCCTATTTAAAAGTGTGAAACAAAGGAAGTAACATTAATACGGCATGCCATGACATCCTTTACAAGAAAAAAGGGCTGATTTTGTTTATGGAATGCATGTTTAATTTATTGTACTTACAGATATAGTTGCCTGCCTGTTTTAACACACTTTAATTACTTTTTAATTTAATGACTGTTTAATATGTTTAATTGTATGCTTATTTATTTATTTATTGCCATAGCCAATGATGCTGGAAAACAAAATAATAAATAAATATACATATAATAAAACATCTCACAACAATACAGTAAATACTATATAACTGTCAGTTTGTTATTTGATAGAAATATTGATATTTAGTGTCTAGTAACATTACAAGCAGTAACAGTAACTTACAAGCAAGTTGTGCTTAAAAGCACAACAAATCATACTTTTTTCCATTATTTATTTATTTATTCATCTATCTATCTATCATCCATCCATTCATCCATCCATCCATCAGTCGATAGCATCTGCAGTTGATACATATTTATTTTTTGCAGTCAATATAGTCCTTTATATGGAAGGAATAAATAAATAAATAAATACATACATACATACATACATACATACAAACGTATTTTTTAAATTAATTTATTGTATTTATTTTTACTGCCAATACACCCAAGCAACAAATATATATTATTTATTTCTGTAAAATAAAATCTCATCAAATTCGAACCAGTAGAACCAGTTGTGAAACCAGCAGCTGTAATGCGACAGAGCTATTTGATAGGTGCTATTCATCTTAAATTAGGGACCAATTTACAAAGCGGTTGATAAGAAAGCCTGGGTGCTTCTCAAAGTATCGTTTCGTAACCCAAATCATATATGTTCATACCAGTGTGGTAAATAACAGTTTTGACATTAACTCACCCACAATGTCCTTGGCTTCATAAAGCCTGATTAAGCAGTCTGTTTTTTAGACCAGTGTCATGAGTATACAGAAGTCAAATGTATCCTTCATTTATATGCTTGATGTTGAAGCATTTAAACAAGGTTCAGTATAACTGATTCAGTTTTGATTTCCATTTGCAGGCTCAGCATGTGGCCCAATGAGAGCTCTGAAAATCAAAGGTGATTAGAAGTGACCAACCTCCATCCTTACAGTCAAACTCAAGGGACCCATTTGATTGGAGCCTTGATGAGATTTATTTAGCAGTAAACACTCAAGCAGATCAAAAGTACAGCGACACAAACCAACACAGCTACGGATTATGCCTATATAGGCTCTGACGTGCAGTGTAGGTAAGAACATCTCTGAAACCATGGCGGACCCCTACCACAACAACATTTACCACCAAGGAGATGGAGACAGCTATGGGACGTATGGACAGGGAGGACAGGATGGCTACGGTTATCAGACTGACTACCCTCCACAGGAGGATGATGCCGCCAGTGATGTCACCGAGGGACACGATGAAGAAGATCAAATGTATGAAGGGGAGTACCAGGGCATCCCCCACCCGGATGAGGTCAAGGCTGCCCGGAGGGCAGCGAGAGCAAAAGCGAGGACCATGGCGGACGGCGTGTCAGATCAGGAGGAGCTTGCTGAACAATACGAGGACATCATGGAGGACTGTGGACATGGGAAGCTCCAGTGGACCTTGTTTGTGGTGTTGGGTCTGGCGCTAATGGCAGACAGCGTGGAGTGCTTTGTAGTGGCTTTGGTGCTACCCAGTGCAGAGAAAGACATGTGTTTGTCCCATGCTGAGAAGGGAATGCTGGGTAAGTCACCGTTTTAGTGTTCAGAATAGCATACTACCATAGTATTTCTGCAGTAAACACCTGAATGATCCACTAAATTGGCCAAAATGGGAAGTATACTGCACTTAGGCTATATGTACTGGTTTCCCATGATACATTGCACTCAATCCTACATTTCCAGTGCTAAACTTTATGAAAGTTAACCATGGTTTTACTACAAATAAAATGAAAAAACATTGTTACTATAGTTAAACCATGGTATCCACAAATTAACCATGGTTTTGCTACACTAACCATAGTTTAACCACGGTATTTTTAGTAAAACTGTGGTTATACAAATGGTAATCAATATGCCAAAAAATGTAGTTTACTACTGTTTGAAATAGTTAGCGCTGCATAATGTGTACTGTTTCACATCATTTTGAAACAAAGCAGGCCATATACAATGTACACTATGCAGTAGTTGTATGTAGCATGTAGTTAGCATTGTGCTAGCTAGCATTCCATTATGTACATATCCATTGTTAATCTTATTTTAAAATGAACACAGACTTAACATGAACAATCTGAGAGGATGTATGGAGGATTTTCTTGGTGTATATTGATTTTTATGGATGTAGGTCATGTGCTGATATCCTTTTTTCTGAATCCTTTTTTATAACAAAAAAGCAACCTAGCAAAACAGCATGAATTAAATTTAGCTGGCTATGGAGTCCTGGATGCTGTTCCATATGCACATGCTGACGAAAGGTTGTAGTTTAATTAATCCTAGTGATTTTGTGAATTGAGACAGACCTGAATGATGGTATGCAGTCAGTTTTAGCCAACTGGTACTTAAGGAGACCATCAATTCAGAATGTTCTCAAATTAGCTAATGGGGCACTCGACGGTTGAGATTTATGTGGCTGGCTCGGTTTTACATCAATCTACTCTTGCTTAGTAAAGCAGTGGGGGGAACTGACTCGTGACTCCCAAAGGTAAGACTGAGATGGGTTGGTTTTAGGACAGACTAAAGCCTGAGACAAACAATTAAGCAAGACCAAACAAGCATAGACATTGTAGGAAGGGGTAGTTGTGTTTAATGTGCCCCAAATTAATTGTCCCTATAGTTGGGACAGACACTTTGTAGTACTAGTGGAAAAATGATTTATTTATTTATTTTTGATTTGATTTGATTTGTCCTAAACTTGAAATACATCTTTAATGCAGGACCTGAATTAAGATGTATTACTAGTTTGATCTCACTTCAGATAAACATTAGTCAAGACAATGCCTGATAATCCATAGATGTTTTTTGATTAATCTGCTCCTTAATTTATTAGTTACAACAGGAAGCCAAATTTAAAGACTTTAGTTTACCTTGTAATAATAAAGGCAATCTAGAAATCTGTCTATCGGATTGAATTTTTCAAGGCACCAGCAGTGACAGTGCACAACCTTACCCAGTCTGGATAAGTGATATTGATGTGTGTGCAGAAGTAGCGTGTATGAGAGTAAAGACTGTCTGTGAGCATCAGGGAGCCAGAATGAGCAAGCACTTTCCATCCTGCACACCCGTTGTGGAGAACAACTGTGTCAGCAGTAGCCTGACAGATCGATAGCTTCTCTCTTGACCTTGCTCTGATACATAATTTTGTGCCCACCTCCCCCTGCAGTCCCCATCAGGTTATATTCGTCACTAGCTTTTTCATGTTTTTCACATTACTATTGGGGTTGGTTATGATATGCCATCTTTACAGAGACATTTTAGCTTCTTCCAGGTCTAGAACCGAGCATGCATGGTGTCTTGTAGATGGGTCAGCCACTTTTACAGGTTTTTGTAGTTTTTTTCATTTTTGGCTCAACACTGCACCAGATTTCTTGTTGGGTTGCTTGTCAACTGACTATTAAAGTGTGGTCACATTTACTGTTTTTTGGCGAATTTTCACTGGCGAAATCCAGTCATTTCAATAGGAATATATGCGATTGGGAATTTGGCATGAGGGCAAATGATTACCCCACACAGATTTCGCATCAGGTTCAGTTAGTCGTGTGAATTTGCCATGACTGCCAACAGAAAGCTGCTTTGTTTGAAAGTGACTTCTGTGTAAGCTGAGTTTCATACATCACTACACTGTTGATAGACAATATTATCTTGATAGACAAGATTAATGTTTTGCCAAAAATTCGCTAATGTGTATACTTTTATTCCAGAATAATTAGGCTGGTTTGAGGTTTCTTATCTCAATATGCTTTTTTAATGTTTTTAGGCGGGTATTCACATATAATTTTTTTTAAATTTGGACTATTTGTAATTTGTCATCTTAAAAATGCAACACTCATAAAAACAGTGCAAATCATGACATAACAGCCAAAGGCATAGTTCAGAATGTCTGTGGCTGAATCGATAAACTAAAGCGGTTTATAGGGATCGAATTTGAAGACATTTACAAGAAGGTTTCCAGGACTAACTGACCTTACTAATCAAGTAGTAGAATTTGTATTATTATTATTTGACTAATTATCTAGTCATTCAAAGTGTCTCAAACATTGAATTAAAAAAGGTCAATAAATGTGTAATTTCTGCACCAAATGTAATTTCAAAAGAAGTTTAATTTTTGATCTAAATAGTTTCCTTTGATTGAAATAGTTTCCTTAACCCTCCCTTATCTCTCAGTGGTCAAAAAAAGCATATAGCCCCGCCCATACTCACTCCATTGGTCGAGTCAGTGTTGCTATGTCAGGCTGGTCGGAATTCTCAAACAAACAGAAGAATGTTTTGAAAGCACCAAGTGTTTTCACTTCTG